GTGGGGGGAGACCCCTGAGATGTGCGCTAAATGAAGGTGATCTAAGAAAATAAGACCCACTTTGTTGAAGCATTTCGTCTTGCCACTCATCAGGACAGTTCGCAAGAAGACCAATTTGAGGGAAAAGTGGACATTTGTACTGCGTGAGGATGGAGTACCGATTGGACCCTGGTTGAGGTGTTGCTGTAGAAAAATGCACCCTTTACTGTTGATTGACAATTAACGGCCACACTTTTTTGTTTAAACTTTAAACCAGGCATGTTGATGCTGGCCAGGGCGTTATCCTGAGAAATGAACCAGAAAATGGCTATCACCCATTTTGAGTTTAAACTGGCACAGTACCCACACGTGTTTTTTTGTGTCCTTACTTGAGAAAATTGGCTAGCGGTTCTGAAAGTCTGCCTTAGTGCAAACCAAAGTTCACTGGTCGATTTACCCATTGAGATTCCTACAGTCATGGCCCTAAAGTCTGAAAGGTGTCAAACCTATCTCCGGCTTGGGTGTCTCAACAGGTTGAAGTAAGGGTAGTTGTTTTGTGACTGTGCAGCAGCAAGGTGAGTAGGGGTTTGCCACCAATAGGATCCTGCCAGCAAGTGTGGTGTGTGAATTTCAGTGCCCATGTGATGCCAGCTGTGTGGGCAGTCTGTCCCAAATGATGGCCTGACTATCAAACAGCATGTCCCTTTTGACTGTTCGCAACAAGCAAAGTACTGACTGTACCCAACCATCTGCACATGCAAAGCGCTCAAAATTGCCTGGGCTTCTGCAATTGGACAATATTTGCTGGCTAATCCGGAGTGCATAAAGGATTACGCTGGTAACCGAGCTAAGGATATCAGTTGGGCTCACGGTATGGCACGTTTGCACACAAGCGGAAGCTACATTCCTTCTGAGTACACAAGGCCTGTTCTTTTCAGACCAAGAGAACATGCTCCTATTTCAATTCAACAAATTATGCCTGCTCTTAAAATTAAACAAAGCCTGATTATTAACTGTCAATCGCCATCAACGAGTGCATTCTCCATGGCAGCACCTTTTCTTTTTAACCAATCCAATGCATGCCTGCCTGCCTACCAACCAACCAGCGCATTCCTCCTTTGCAAAATAAATGCTTTTTATTTTTATTTTTCCCTTGATTGCTCCCCCCGCCACCCCTTGCAATCTTTGGAGACTCAAGCCAAGAGTAGGAAATCAAATTTGCAAGATGGACAACATTGTCTTTGGGGAGCTGTATGGGTGGTTGCTATGGAGCTGGGGGCTGTGTGTGATGCACATAAAGGTAGTTTCTTTCCCACACTCCCTATGTACTCATTAAATTCTCGTGGCTACCAATTCAACATGGTGCCCTGGGGCAGATTTAAACAGCTGAGGCAATGCAGTACCTGCCAATCTCTAGTCGCAAACTGGGCATTGGGGCCAAACTCATGGCAGTGCTGGTGTTTCTAGAATGTGTTTGTTGGGCACCTGGTGCCACCCTCATGGATGGCACACAATAGTCAATTGGTAATGGGTCCTGTCTCAAACTTTTGGGGATGGGGAGGGGGTTCCCTGCCAAATTAATAACTTCGGAAGCTTTCTCCATGCATAACAGCTTCAGAGAAGAGAACTGGGGCAGGATTTGTGAAATTACATTGTTGCCCACTTCCCACCTTTTTTTTTTTTTTGAAAAGCTCATTGCTAGTTTTGATATTTAACTCTTAGCCCTGTGGGTGAGGGTTGGTGAGTGGTGGGTGACTCGGTAGTGAGGGTGAGGGGCGGGATGGGCGACACAAGCCACCCTGTGCCACTCTCTCCCGATTTTGCTTCAGTTGGATCTACTGCTCCGAGGCCGCCATTTTGTTGTAGCGCAAATGGCAAAGCGGCTTGTATCGAGGGAATTTTCTTCTTATTGCCCCGTGGCGATGGCTGAAGCTTCTCTTGAGCCTCCAATACTTCGGAAGGATGGCACGTGGCACTTGGCATTGTTGACCATCCAACTGTGGGCATTTACTGGCACTGTACAGCTTCGGTGGGGGTCACCCATTTGCAGTTGGCACCTCTTCTTTTTTTTTATTTCCTCTTGAACGTCAAGTGGCATCATGGGTTTGAGGGGTAAGTATGTGTGGTCAGTGCCATGCTCCTCTGCACCCACTTTTTTTTTTTTTTTTTTGGTTTTGGACGATTGCTTTACAACCTCTTTTGCCACTCTGGGTGGCATGCCCACCCGGTACTGCTCTTGACGTGTAAGAGGGGAGACTGTGAGTGTTTTGTTTTGACTTTGGGCAGTGCCACAGTCCAAACTGAGGACTCTGTCACCATGGGTGAGTGGCATGATGGAAGGTTGAGATTGGCATCATTCTCCCAGGACTTGGATGGTGTTGAGTCATAATGCAAGAGTGTGTCCCCCATGTTTGTTTATTTTCAATTTAGTTCAACGATGGTGGGAAGTTTTGAGGTTTAGAATGCTGTGTGGGTGGCCATTTTGAAAAGTTAGTAACTGTGGGCATTTTGATTTGAATTAACCGCAGCCTTTTCTCGCTCTCTTTTGCCCCCAACACCAGGTCCAACAGATGATGCATTTGATGGTTGGGGCCCAGTGGAGCTAGCCGCGGTGATCGCTGGCCCGGTGTTTCTCCTGTGTGTGCTGTTGATGGTGACGGTTTTCCTGTGCCACTACCACCACCAGCGGGTCTACCATGACCGTAACCAGCTCGATATGGAGGAGCCATCATGCGACCACATGTACATCTCCGAGGGGAAGTCCTTGAAGGACCTCATGTTCGATATGACCACTTCGGGATCGGGATCCGGTAGGGCTCTGGGTTAGCCAGGGTTGCTGTGTGACAAGGGAACCAAAGGGGTGGGAGGGTGATGGGTGATTGGAGGGTGAGCAATGCGTTGAATCAAGGACCCTGACCCCCCCCCCCCCCCCCCCCCCCCTTTCCTCCCTCTCCCTCTCCCTCTCCCTCTAACTAGCTTTGCCTGGGATTAAGGTGTTTGGGTCATCAACTGCCCATTAGAGGTGCCATTGCAGCCCCCCACTCCCTCCCTGGTGGCCTGCAATCCGTGACTCCCTGTTCATTGAAGACCACCATGTGTTTCCACTCCACCTGAAGGTGCTGACTCTTTCTTGGAGTCTCTCTGACTGTAGTCAATGTGGCCTCTGGGAAGCGCCATTGCTGTTGACAGTGCTGTTCTGCACATGCTCCCCACTGCCCACACATTCTCCCATCATGCCCCTGCTCTGTGGAGTCGTATGGCAGTGATCTGGATCTGCATCTGGAAAACCAGCTGATTTGGGGGGGTTGGAAAAACCACCGAGGGCGTGTTGCCTGACTGGAGGTGGCATCTTTTTGGGGCATTAACCCAAAGATTTGTCTGCACTTTGGGCTCAACGTCCAAGATCCCCCTGGTGCTCATTTGAGGAGAAGTTGAGACGTATCTCCAGTCTCCTGGCCCAATATTCATCCGCCCCATCCCCCACCCTCCCCACTGCAGAGGGGAAGGGAAAAAATATTGGTGATGGGCAGAGTTGCCCAGTTACTGCCAGCGTCCCTCAGAAATAGCTTCCCCGTGTGGCACTGTGCGAGTGTTTCGGCAGCTCCGTCTGCTGAAATGGCGAGGCCCGGCCCGGGAATCGATGGGCAATGATTTCGTTCTCCCTGCAGGCCTGCCGCTGTTTGTGCGACGGACCATCGCCAGGACCATTGTCCTCCAAGAAATAATTGGCAAAGGCCGCTTTGGCGAAGTGTGGCGAGGTAAATGGCGAGGTGGTGACATTGCTGTCAAAATCTTCTCCTCCCGGGAAGAGCGCTCGTGGTTCAGAGAGGCAGAGATCTACCAGACCGTCATGTTGCGTCACGAAAATATTTTGGGATTCATCGCTGCAGACAATAAAGGTATGGCAGCCATTTTGTTTTTGTTTTGCTTGCCGTTCTTAGCCGAATGACCACCTTGTGTGTAGTGTAAACCTCCTCGATGCCCCAAGTGAAATGGAGCAGCTGATCTTGAGATCCATGGCATTGTCTGAAGTGCCAACTGGCATTCAGTGTGCCTTTGGAATGTTCTTGAGCTGCCACTTTGGGATGGCAATTGGGTTTTGGGGGAGGAGTCAGGGGGAACGTGCGACCACTTCCATTTTGTTCAATGGATCCAACTGGTGCCTGAACAAGTTTTTACAAATAATGTGATTCAATCAATTATAGTCCAAGTGTGCGAGTTTAAACAAAAACGGCGACTTGCATTGTTATAGCGCCTCTCCCTAAAGCAGCAAACTCTTTCACTCGAAGAAAGATGACCTGACCCAGAATTTGAAAGTGTGTCACATTCCAGCACGTTTGGGAAGAGTGACTGAAATCTTGATCCGATAAGTGTGGTTTTTAGAGGTGCCTTAAAGGGAGAGTGAAGAATTTTATTTTTTTTTTTGTTAAAGGGAGGGCATTCCAGAGCTTGGGGCCTCAGAAACTCTGGAGCCTGGGGCCTCGGCATCTGAAGACAGCGGGCCAAAGTTTTGAAAGCTGGATTTCTATTTGACATCTGGCTGGCCAAACCGGTTTGGCCAATGTGTCTTGACAGACCAATACGTGAGGAAGAAAGGATGAGCAGGATCTTGGCTGAGATGTACAGAGCAAGAATAATGTTCCCTTCCTGTAGCTCCTATGACTTATGTGGCCATTCTGTGAATTGAGAGTTTTCTGCCTCAGTTGCTACAAAGAACGCTCACTTTCTTGTATCAGTTTTATTTTTAAATTGCGTTGCTTTTGTTGTAATCCTTTTTTTTTTTTTGCCCAAATGCTTTTGCACTCCAGATAATGGGACGTGGACTCAGTTGTGGTTGGTGTCTGACTACCATGAGCACGGCTCTCTCTTCGACTACCTGAACAGGTATACAGTCACTGTTGAAGGCCTGATCAAGTTGGCACTCTCTGCTGTCAGTGGGTTGGCACACCTGCATATGGAGATCGTGGGCACTCAGGGTAAGGCAAGACAAAGTCGTTCTGTCCTGATGTAAAAATAGCCAGGAATACTGGAGCTGTGTTGCAGCTCCCACCTAATTCCGTACAATTTTTTTTTTTGTGTGGTGCGATCTGCCTGTGCTGCGTGCAAAACAAAACTTTTCACTGTACTTAGGTACGTGTGACAATAATAAATCAAATCGAATCACAAACAAGGAACACTCCCTGTCTTGCATCTGTTGTATTTTCTGACTGAGCACATTTTAACCACCGCGTCCTCATAACCCTGTGTGCCACTCGTCAGCAGAAATCTATCACGCTCTACCATTTTTTTTAAACCAACTCAAAGACTCAGCCCTCTGGTGGAGAATTCAACAGATTCCCAACCCCCTGAGTAAAAGAATTTCTCATTGTCTCAGACCGAATTGGCACCTTCCCAATCCACCCACCTCTTTCTTTTTTTATTCTTAAATTATGCCCCCTGTTTTCAGACTACGGTTGTCAGGTGACTGGTCTGTGGCATTGCAGCCAAGCTGGACATTGGCACAGCTCCCTCATGAAGTGGGCACCTTTGCAATGCCACTTCTCTCCCGCTGGTTCCCTGGGTTCTACACATTGTCCACGTGTAACTGGATAGCAAAGGGTGAAGCGGGCTGGAAAATTAGTTCTCCCAAAGAAGGGAACCTGTCAAGCTCCTTTTAGATCTGAGGGAGGGCACAGGAAGAGGGTCACGCCACTTCTACAAAGAAACTATTCCAGCCCGTCCTGTGGTGACTGGCAGGCAAGCTGGGTGAGCAACTTTACAAGACACAGGTTTAAATCGTCTGCAAGTCAAGGGATTAAATTGTTTTCCACTCCCTCTTGCACAGGAATGCAATTACACAACAGGAAGCATTTGCGCTCTTAAGCTGCTTTGCTTGGGGTAGTTAGAACGTGGGAATTTGCTAGCACAGGAAATAACATTTCAAGGGAAGGCTAGACTTTAAGCACCGTGCGAAAGGGGTACGCAGTTAAGTTGAAGTCGTACAACACCAGATTATAGTCCGACAGATTTATTTTGAAATCACAAGCTTTCGAAGCGCTGCTCCTTTTGTCCATTCGCCTCAGGCCTTCAGCCATGTACAACTTGTAGACTTGGGCATGTACAGGAGGATGGAATGCGATCACTTCTCGGTTGAAAACAAAACAAAAAAAATTGCTGGAAATCACAGCGAGTCAAGCAGCATCCACAGAGAGAGAGAGAGAGAGTACTATTGTTTCGAGTCAAGATGTTAGCTTACTGCCTGACCCACTGTAATTTCCAGCAATTTTTTTGTTTTGTTTTCAGTACAGATTCCAGCATCTGCAGTAACTTTTCACTTCACCATTGCTTAAGTTGTCTGGGCTCTGGGATTCCCTCCCTGAACCCTCCTTTTTATTTATTGACCTAGCTCCTTGACCAAGCCTCTGCTCCCTTCTCCTATTTATCCGCACCAAGCCGCGTGAGGTCTTGTCTGAAAACTGTCAAGTTGTTGGTCCCTGAATTCTGTTGTTTATAGTTTTGCTGTAACCTGGGTGACAGCAAACAGAAATTGAGAGTACTGTTGTCTCTTGCAGCCAGTGACAGTCCATCTTCCAACTGTGTTTAGCCAAGTAAATGATGGGGTGGCATGGTGGCTCCATGGTTAGCACTGCTGCCTCACAGCGCCAGGGACCCGGGTTCAATTCCACCCTTGGGTGACTGTCTGTGTGGAATTTGCACGTTCTCTCCGTGACTGCTTGGGTTTCCTCCGGGTGCTCTGCTTTCCTCCCACAGTCCAAAGATGTGTAGGTTAGGGTGGATTGGCCATGCTAAATTGCCCGTAGTGTTCAGGGAGGTGTAGATGGGTGGGTTATAGGGGGATGGGTCTGGGTGGGATGCTCTGAGGGTCAGTGTGGACTTGTTGGGCCAAAGGGCCTGTTTTCACACTGTAGGGATTCTATGATCTAAGTAAATAGTTTGTGTGGTGCAACAACGTAGCAAGCGTTGGCGGATTACTCTTGTACAGGCAATTTGCCCCATGTTACCGGATACATCCACTGATTTCGGTTCAGTTCGTAATCCCTACGAGGCATGACCCACACTTGCTTTGGTTATCGAGGTCTCGGACATAGAATCCATCAGGTGATCGAGCAACATTTGTGGGAGAATTCCCAAGCTTTTAGCATCTGTTATTGTTTTTAAATCAAAGTTTGTCTTTTTTTCCTTCCTTTCTCTCTTTGCTTGGGGTCCACCACAATTCGCTCCAAAGTTTCTGTCCCGTTCACCAGGTCGCTGAGATATCACCTCCCTATGATCATATCATATGCCAGGGATTTGGCCTCATTTAGAAGAGGGAACGTTGTGCTTTATGTCACGGTCCTTGCACAACACAGGCTCCGTTATGAAGGGACTGTCACACACACAGTGCATGCACAGAGCCCCCACTCCCACAAGCTGCAAGCTCCTGATTGCTAAATGAGATACCTGCCCTGGCCGGCGGGGATGGGGTGTAGGGGGTGTAGTTTGGGTGCTGACTTGAGCTAAGACTACTAAGACTTGCTTTGGCATAGTGGGTGGATGTCCGGGCGAGTTGGGCATGTGTTGGAGGCACATTACAGTTTGCCTGGGGTGTGTCCTGAACTGGTGTGGTAACACGCAAATGTTTACCCACATGCTGTCTATAGTCTGGAGCAATGGAGAGTGATGACGGAGGGTCCAGTGTAGCCGAGGTGGAATCTTCTCCTGCTCCTACTGCCCCCTGTTGGAACATGTGGGATAGCCACTGGTTTGACCGTGTTTCTAAACACACCCTTCCTTATCCATCAGGTCCTGGAGTAGAAATTTAACTTCTAGCTCAGAGGTGGGGACACTACCCACTGTCAGAAGACCTTGGATAGAGATGTCCATGTGTTTATTGGCTAGAAGCATTTTAAAAAAGAAACAACAAAAATTGCAAGTGCTGGAAATGCTCAACAACATTTGAGAACAATGCATTTTTGAATCTTTATCAAAACATTGGGCAGAATGACTGACTTCTGTTGGGTCCCACTGAGTGTGTTCATTGGGTGCTTTCTGCTGTGTGTGTGATCCCATGTTGCCTTGTATCCTTGCAGGCAAACCTGGCATTGCCCACCGAGACCTGAAGAGCAAAAACATCTTGGTGAAGAAGAATGGCACGTGCGCCATTGCTGACCTGGGCCTCGCCGTTCGGCATGACTCACTGACCGACACCATCGACATTGCTCCCAATCAGAGAGTGGGCACAAAACGGTACCACCTCCTTCACACACACACACACACACACCCCACCCCCACCCCTGTTATCCTAGCAACCCATTTCGGCCCTTCGAGCCTGCTCTGCCATGTCCATAGGATCATGGCTGATCATCCAACTCCATCCCCTGTTCCCACTTTCTTCCCCCACATCCTTTGATCCCTTTTATCCCTACGAACGCTATCAAACTCCTTTTTTTTTTTTTGAAAACATGTTTTGGCCTTCACTGCTTTCTGTGGTAGAGAATTCCACACGTTGTATTTTTGGGTGAAGACATTTCTCATTGCATGCACTAGTTTCTGGCGTTTTGTTCTGATTAGAAAACTGATTTTTTTTGTTTTGAAAATGGATTGTCTGTCAGGGGTAAAGAGTTGGTTTAAACCAATCGAGTCATTTAAATTGCAGCCTGGAGTCCAGGAGATGAAAACACTCGCGTTAGGAGTGGGATTTTGTCTTGAACATTTCAATAAGACTGTGCTGTAGCAAGCTAACAGTTGTGTTCAGTTCTTCCATTTTTTTTTTGTTCTGACTGTAAGAAACTTTATATTTAGCTTTACTCATCCTTTTTTCTCTTCATGTACTTGGAACTAACTGTAAAAGTTTCTATATCTTCCCTGCAATTTTACTCGTACTCTATTTTCTTCCTGTTGTTTGGACTTTTTGCCTTTGGCTGAATTCCAAAATGCTCCCAATCCTCAGGCTTGCTGCTTTTTTTTCCCCTCTGGAAGTGTTATGTCTTCTCTTTTTGGAGCTGATGATATCCCTAAGCCATGGTTTAGTCTCATTGTATATATTTAGTGAAATTTGTGCTTGTATCCTCGTAGTTCGCTCCCTTTAGATACCGGAGTCATGTCCTTTTTTAGGGAGGGCAGTCTGCCATCTTTACCTGGTCTAGTCTACATGTGAGATCAGAACCCCTGCCCTCCGGAGTTATTGGGGTGATACATGAGGACAAGGGGGATTCTGTCTTTGTTGCGGGCAGGGGATGTAAGGGCTGAGGTGGGGAAACGCAAGAGATGCGGTTGAGAGAATTTTCGACCACCGACCTCGACACCCTCGTCTGCTCCACACTCCCCACCAACCCCACCACCTCCGGCATCTTTCCCTGCAACCGCAGGAAGTGCTACATCTGCCCCTACACCTCCCCCCTCACTTCCGTCCCCAGGCCCCAAAAAAAACCTTCCATATCAGACCGAGGTTCACCTGCACATGCGTCAATGTGGTCTATTGTATCCGCTGCTCCCGATGTGGCCTCCTCTACGTCGGTGAGGCCAAGCGGAGACCGCTTTGTAAAGCACCTGCACTCTGTTCGCAACAAATGACGACAACACTTTCCAGTCGCAAACCGTTTCAACTCCCCCTCCCACTCCCTGGGTGACATGTCCATCCTGGGCCTCCTCCAGTGTCCCAATGATGCTACACAGAAACTGGAGGAGAAGCACCTCGTATTCCGCCTCTGGAGCCTACAGCCCGATGGCCTAAATGTGGATTTTACCAGTTTCAAAATCTCCCCACCCCCGGCCTCATCCCATGACCAACCCTCCTTGACCTGACACAATCTGTCCACCTTCTCTCCCACCTCACTGACCAATCCCTACCACTGCTTACCTGCACTCACCTATCACCATCCCACCTACCTTCCCCAGCCCCATCCCTCCTCTCTCTCTTTATTTCTGAGGCCCCTTCCCCCTCCCCCATTTCTGAAGAAGGGTCTCGACCCGAAACGTCAGCTTTCCTGCTCCTCTGATGCTGCCTGGCCTGCTGTGTTCCTCCAGCTCCACGCTGTGTTACCTCTGACTCCAGCATCAGCAGTTCTTACGATCTTCCTGGTGAACCTTTGCTGACCTCTTTGGAAAGACTACGGCGATGTGTTTTAGCTCGACATTGACCTTTTTTGCTTTCAGTCTGGTTTTATCTCTATTTTCTGCAGTTTTTTTTTTAAGAGCATGTCTCCCTTTTTCTCTTTGAAGCTACATGGCCCCTGAAGTACTGGACGAGACGATCAATATGCAACACTTTGATTCCTTCAAGTGCGCTGACATTTACGCCCTGGGGCTGGTGTATTGGGAGATTGCTCGAAGATGCTCTGCAGGAGGTACTGAGCTGTTACCAGACGTTGCTGTTCCCTCCGCATGTTCTGTGCACCCACCCAGCTCCCCCACCCCGACACACTGTGTACTCTGGTATCTGCGCGGTGAGCTCTTGGCTTCACCAATGTTATGGTTTTGTTCAATATGAATCAAGTATCGAGGCTCGAACGCTCACTTTTGAAGCACAGGAAAAAGGCCATTCAGCCCCTTGAGTCTGTTCCATCCTTCAAATGGATCACAGGTGATCTCTATCTACCCACCTATGTTCAGTAACCCTTCCTTCTTTTTTTTTTAATCCCCTTTACCCCAGCAGAATTTAATCTGAGCAGGGTGCGGTTCTTTTTGGTCTTCCACCTCCAATGCCCTGAGGTACCCTCTTCTGTACTGGCATTTCTGGCTGGCATGAAGTTGCCAACCCTTCAGGGATTGGAGATTTACCTCCCAGATGCTGCTAGGGTGTTGAAAAGGCTTTATCATTGAGTCACGTAGCACGAAAACAAACCCTTCAGTCCAACCCATCCATGTCAACTAAGTTTCCCAATCTGAACTAGTCCCATTTGCCTGCATTTGGCCCATATCCTTCATGTACCCATCCAGATGCCTTTTTAAATGCTGTAATTGTACCAGCCTCTACCACTTCCTCTGGCAGCTCATTCCATACACGCACCACCTTCTGTGTGGAAAAAGTTGCCCCTAAGGTCTGTTTTAAATCTTTCCCCTCCCACCTTAAACCTGTGCCCCCTAGTTTTGGACTCCCCAACCCTGGGGAAAAGACCTTGGCTATTCACCCTATCCATGCCCCTCATGATTTTATAAATTCCTATAACGGCACCCCTGTTTGAAAACATTCAGTGCAGGGACTGGGGGCTGTTGAGGTGTTGGGAGAGGTGGAAAACGCTTTCTTCTTGGACAGACATGATTTGATCCAATTGGGTTCACCTATGGGAGACAGTGCATTGAGGAGATGGACCAATTACAGGAGTGTGGGGTCAGGGTGGTCTGGGGTGACCGGTCATGTGATAAAACCTCTGGGAATCTGGCCAATCAGAGTTGGCGACCCAAGCTGGTGCGGGGGATGGAATGGGCGAGTACCAGGATGGCGGCAAGGTGGTCATTATCTGTCTGGGTGTGCACTTTCTTCCTTCACTGAAGATGCCAACTCGCTCCCTGTTGTTGACGTGGCAATTTTCCACATCTGAATTTTGATGCATGACAGGGATTTTCGTGCCTTTGCTTGCAAGAATTGTCCTTGTTTATGTTCCTTTTGCGAAATGTTGGTGCTTTTGAGTTTTTTTTGTCTTAATCCTTTCCAATTATATTAAGGCGGTGAACTATTTTACAGCATGTTTAATGTTTGCTCCTAGGAATCCATGAGGATTATCAGCTGCCCTACTTTGACCTCGTGCCCTCTGACCCCTCCATAGAGGAAATGAGGAAGGTTGTTTGTGAACAGAACCTGAGGCCAAATGTTCCCACTGTTTGGCACACTAACGAGGTAAGTCTGGAGTTGAATGTAGGAATAGGGGTAGGCCCTTCAGCCCCTCAAACCTGTTCTGCCATTCAACGAGATCATGGCTGATCTGTGGCCTAACTCCATAGATTGCCATAGGGTAGCACAATAGCTCAGTAGTTCGCATTGCTACCTTGCAGCACCAGGGACCCGGGTTCAATTCCACCCTCTGGTGACCATCTGTGTGGAGTCTGCACATTCTCCCTGTGTCTGCGTGGGTTTCCTCCGGGTGCTCCAGTTTCCTCCCACAGTCCAAAGATGTGCAGGTTAGGTGGATTGGCCATGGGGAAATGCAGAGTTACAGGGATGAGGTAGGGTCTGGGTGGGATGCTCTATAGAAGATTGGTGTGGACTTGATGGGCCGAATGGCCTGCTTCCACACTGAATTCTGTCTGCTTTTGGCCCATGTCCCTTAATACTTTTTTTGGTTCAACAAAAATTTACCTGTCTCCAATTTGGAATTAGCAACTGATCCTTTTAGTTGCGTGGTGGTACAGAGGTTCTATTTTGCTGAAAAACGAGACAGATTGTTGAAGCTCTTTCAGTTTGGCCCTCGTCAGGACAGAATTGCAAGAATACCAAATCTTGAGGGGAACAACAATTGATACCATAACAGGAAGCTAGGTTGGCAACTGGACTCTACAAGGGAGAATGTTCAAAGAGGCGACCCTGGCTAACTTTTTTCCTGTTAAGAAGGCTCTGCTGTCCTTTAAATGCCTTAGCTTCTGGAAAGGAGCCGTTGACATCAGTGTTTGTTTATGCAGCCTGCAGGCCTAAGTTCACTAACGAAACACAAATTATTATAGCCTAGCAACAGGCCGGTGTAATGCGGTAATCGGGGAGATGATGGCCTAGTGGTACTATCAGTAGACAATTAATCCAGAGACCCAGGTGACATTCTGGGGACCTGGGTTCGAATTCTTCTATGCTGGAAATTGAATTCACTGAAAATCTGGAATTCGGAGTCTAATGACCGTGAATCCATTTGTCAAAGGTTTTTTTAAAACCTATCTGGTTCACTAATGTCCTTTTAGGGAAGGACACTGTCATCCTTACCTGGTCTGGCCTACATGTGACTCCAGACCCACAGTCAATGGGGTTGACTCTTAAAAGCCCTCAGGGATGGGGCAATAAATTCTGGTGTAGCCAGCAATGCCCACATCCTGTGAATGAACGAGGGGGGTGGGGAGTGTGCAGTCTTCCATGGGCACGTAGGTGGCATGGTTGGTACTGCCTTCCAGGCAAGACCCTGTCTGTCCCCTTTTGTGTATATGAAAGATCCCTGCGGCACTGTTTAGAAGGGGAGAGCTTCCCTGCTCCTCTGTCCTGCCCAATATTTATCCCCCGACCATCGCCACAAGGAACAGATTCTCTGCCCATGATGTGGAGAGGTTTTCCTGAGTTCACATGAGCTCCTGTGACCCCCCTGCATTGCCCTCCCCATGACCTTCCCTTCAGAATTTTGATGTGGAACTGGTTGGAGATCTAGGCTGTTTCCCAGGTACCTCATCCAGGAGACCTGAAGGAAAAGTGTGGAGGGTTCCCCCTCCTGGGGCTGAGGGAGTGGGAGGGTTACCTCTTTTGGCCTTGTATGTGATACAAGCTCCTCCCCTTCATTGCCCCCCCCCCCCCCCCCCCCACCCTCAAACCTTGGCCCACCAGGCATTGCGAGTCATGACCAAGATCATGCGGGAGTGTTGGTATGCCAACGGGGCTGCCAGGTTGACAGCTCTACGCATCAAGAAAGCATTGTCTCAGCTTAGCATTCAAGAGGATGTGAAGATCTAAGGAGAGAGGGAGAGAGAGTGTGTGAACGAAGCAGGGAAGCATGGCATTGTGGATGCAAACCTACACCACCTGCCACTTTAGCTGCAGAGCAACGTCTACCTCACTACACAAGGAGCCAATCCTGCAGAAGTGTTGACTGTTGTATTTGGGGTAAGGGGGGTGCTGGTGTGGCAGGAGGGAATGCAACAGGGTGGTGGGGGGTGGGGGATGATTTTTGAGGAAAGCAGAAGCTAAGCGAACTACGGTAAGTATTATGGATTAAATTTCAAAAGCAAACTACCACTTTTTCCGTCACTTGGAATGGACAAAATGGCTTCCTGGCAACGATGATTTTTAAGAATTGGTAGCTGCTTGTTTGTTTTTTTTTTTTCAGCAAACAATGATTGATTGTATTTGATTGATT